CAGGCTGCACCTCTGTCCTGACAGCGTTTTATAAGCACCATGAGTGTCTGAAACATCTCTCTCTGTGGTGATGTCTGCCAAAGGTTGCATGAAGACACACTGAAACGATTTGTGGCACAGATGTTTCTACAGTATTACCTCATTTTGAAACATAACAAGAGCAGAAGGATGGCACAGTGAGAGGAGAGGAGAGGAGAGAGGAGGTATTTAACTGTTGAGTATCTGGTTTTAATGTGCGGTACAAGTGAGTACACGCCAACTGATTTGTCAGCAAACCTTTAGCTTCCTTTCAGAATTAACCATTACTTTGGAATACTATTCAACAAATTGCAATTTATATTTGCCAGTTTATTTTGTAACCAGGTTGCTGTGTATTGCAGACTTCTGCCCAAGTCCCTCTTGAAAATGAGATCTAGATCTCAGTGGGGTTTATCTGGTTAAATAAAGGAAATAAAAAATAATAATAAGAGAGAATGATTCTTAAGAAATTCTTTCAAGATCATGTTGCAAAAACAAGCAAATGAAAGTCTCAGGCTACGATCACGATTCTGGCAAAAATATCACAAACTGACTGTTTGGCCAAATATGACTCTTGGCATATTTGTATGGCAGTCTGAGCAGCACAAATCTGATTAATTTAATCAGAGGTTTTTCTAAGCACCTTAGGCTATGTTCTCACACCAAGCAAAATACTTTTTCACAATAGTCTTTACGGTCCCACTCAGATCTTTTTCACCCCTAAGAAAAAGTCCTATTCGTGCCACTCTCTTGAGGTCCTACATCAGATACATACATATCCATTGATGTCAAAGCTTCCGTCTGAACTGTCGCATCGTGTTTAGATCTGACATTTTCATCATTGCCATGAGACACACATCATGATTCTCTACAGGGGTTGTAGTTAATACGCCACAAAAAGCCGTTTCTTCTTTGTGTTATGGTTTTGTTCTGTCGGCTGCCATGGCTGAATAAACGTGAAAATCGATCCATTCTTACTGCCGTAAACGGAGCGCTGCTGTGTGTCAGAGTGACGGATACAAAAACAGCAAAAGTGGAAACAAGTATGAACAACAACCTCAGAACGGAGACGTGTGGCGGCCATATTTTACATGTGAAGTAATCTGTCAAATTATTACTTAAGAGTCATATTTATATTTTAAAATCATAAGCTTAAAATGTCAGTTTTCCTCATAGTTTTAGTGTTAATATTATGTTAATATTCATTATTATTTTGATTTTCAAATGTTTAAACAGATTTTTTTTATTTATGCTGAGCACTTAATATGTCTGTTATGAAGCAACTTTCATAATAAGCTTATTGATAAAGAAAAGAAAGACAAAGAAAGAAGAAAAATATATAAACGAGATTTTAGTTCAGGAACAATACAGTAGACGAGCATTTAGTTTCTAAAGCATCGATTGCACCAAAGTTTTCCACACAATCCAGTTTCATAAAGTCTGGATTGGCTCTCAGTATGTCTGCAGTCATGACAGTTGCTTGTCTTCTGCATCTATTTTTGATTTGAAAGTTAAAAGATGATGAAGTGGAGGCATTAGAGAGAACTCATGACTTGTTTTTTAGTTAGAACAAGTGTCTATCAGCAGACAGGTGTCTCAGCTGGACCTCATTCAAACATTTACAGCTGGCCATAAGCTGCACCAGCTAGTAATTAACTGCCTCTGTTTTATGTGTGATCGTGTGCTGTAAACATGAGTCATGGGACTAAAAGTGAGTTAATTTTCAACCTAGAGTAAGGAGACGGCTGCAAGCGATAACAGCGCTGAGCAGTGTGCCTCGTAACAGCCAGAGCAGGAACGCTTCAAACAGAAAGACATGCACACCTTTGTTCTATCTGAAAGTAAATCAGATCAAACTTCTCTCTTTTGCTTTAGGTGTTTTTAGAATTACCAAAATTATTCGCTCAATGCCACAATAAGGAGAGAAAGAATGTCATGGATTTATTTATTAATTTAACATCTTCAAAATTTTTAACCAGTGAAAGAAAGCCTAGATGACCTTTGTGAAGATGCAAGATGAAGCTGGTGAGACAGAGTGAAACACATCCTGTTCTGATGTGGACTGAAAGGCCGCTCAGAAAGGAAGAAGTCATAATTCCAAAGGAAACATTAAAAAGCCAGATCGCAGCTTGCAAAGGGTCAAAAACCTTCATTTTTGGAGAAATGTCCTGTGGTTTGATGAAACTGCAGTGAACTGCTCAGACATAATGACCGTTGTTATATTTGGGGGAAAAAACAACAAAAAAGAGGAACATTTGTAAACCTGAGAACATCATCCCAACTATTAAGTATGGGGGAGGCAGCAGCATGTTGTGGGGCTGCTTTGCTGCAGGAGGAAATGGCACACATCCTAAAATAGATGGTGTCATGAGGAAATGTGGAAATACTGAAGCAACATCAAAAGATATCAGACAAGAAGTTAAAGCTCAGATGCTAACAGGTCTTCCTAATGTACAACTACCCTCAGCATCCAGTCAGTGGTTTAAAGATCACAAAGTCATCTAGTTATGCAGATGATACACAGCTCTGCATTACAATGTCGTCAGGTGACTCTGAACCCATCCAACCACTGAACAGATCTTCAGAACAGATAAATGTGTGGATGTGCCAAAACCTTCTCCAGCTGAACAGAAACAAAACTGAAGTTATCTTTGAACCTAAAGAGGAACGATCTAGTGTCAACGCACAGCTTCAGTTACCGCAGCTGCAAACTATAAATCAGGCTTTAATCTGGGTGTAGTGATGAACTCTGACCTGAACCTTCAGAGACACATGAAGGCAGTTACAAAATCGGGCTTCTCTCACCTGAAGAACATTCCCAGGACTGAAGGAGTAAGGTCCCAGCAAGATCTAGAGAAACTCATCCATGAACTTATCTTTAATCGCATTGATTACAACAACTTCTTCACGTCAATTAATAATGTAACATTTTAAAGATAGAACACATCACCCAGTTCTAAAGTCCCTACACTGGATCCCTGTAGCTCAGAGAATAGACTGTAAAATCCTGTTGTTAGTTTATAAATCACTTAACGGTTTGGCACCACAACACATTAAAGGTCTGCTGTTGTTGTATCAGCCTTCCAGAACCTTTCAGGTCTTCTGGTTCTGGTTCTGCTCTTCATCCCCAGTACCAGAACCAAACATGGAGAAGCAACATTCAGCTTCTACAAGCACTACAAATCTGGAACAAACTTCCAGAAAACTGCAAAACAGCCAGAACACTGATGTCTTTTAAATCAAGGCCAAAAAGCCATTTCTGTAGTTTCTTTCAATTAACAACTGTCTGGCACATCATAGTCTGTTTTTAAACCTGTCATCAATTTTTCCTTGCTTTGCCACTGTAAGAAAATCTTTTTGTTGCTTTATTTTTCTTTTAATCAAGTAAAACACTTTGAATTGCCTCGTTGCTGAAAATGTGCTATACAGATAAAATCGTCTTGCCTTTCCTTGAAGGCTGGGTGCACCGCCCTGCAGTGTCCTCCCCCTGCACCTCCATTTCAATACATTACTAAGGAGACATAGGGGATTGGTGTTGAGGTGGAAGAGACTCTGGTATTAGCTAGCAGTGGGGGCCTTCCACACTCTTTTACTCCCACTCTTGTTGCTCCTGGTCAGCAGGGACTGAAGGTGTGGGTACAGCCTGGAGGTGTCTGAATGTGTTGTTAGGATCCTGAAACATTAGGAGTCTCTGCTTATCAACGTCTGGTGCTTCTCAGCCTCTGGGTTCCTGTTCAATTTTAAAAAAGGATGCAGATTGGTGAAAACTATACAATTCTTAAATGGTTTTCTTAGGTCAAATAATAAGTTCCTAAATTTGATCAACACAATCATTTTACTTATTTCCATGAAACCTTTTATTCCACAAGAGCGTTTACATGTTATCTCTGAGGATTGGAAACTTAACTTCTTTGTCTATATGGTCATAATTCCTTTTGTCAGTGGGTTAGACTTTATGTTAATATTCTCAACGAAGTTTTTTTTTTACATCCCTTTCTTCTATGTGTTTTATTTCATATTTGCTTCATTTACCACTTATTTGTAACATATGAATAACATGAAGTACATAATATCCAGAAACTTTGATCCATCGATCCATCTATGCATGCATTGGCAGATACCTAGCTAGATGGCTAGCTAGCAAGCTAGCAAATTCTTGCTGGCTGTCTATCTCTTGCTAGCTAGCAAAATTTTTCAAGTCCATTTGACAAAACATGAAAAGATTTAAAGGTTTTTTAGTATTTTTGCAAGGCACAGTAGATGTTTTTATTTTGTGGTATTTGTTTTTTTGTTTGTTTGTTTTGTAGTGATTTATTTTTATTTTCTGGGAAGAATGATCATTTTTAAAAATGGGTCAATTTGGCTTTGATTATTTTGATTGTTAGCCCTGGACATAGACACAGGAACCCCCTGACACACGCCTCTATTAGTCAGATAATCCTCTGAGGGGTTTAGATGAAGACAAAGGAAGGATTTGACATGACGATTAGACAATTAGTACAAATGAGCAGGTGGTATTGTTTTTTTTGTTTTTTTTTGCTGCAGCCACAAACACATTTAATCAAACTCTGCTGCTTCTGTGTTTGCAATTCCAGTGTTGGGACAAAACCCTCAGTGGTGCAGCAAACAATGAATTTCCTCTCAGTGTGATTCCTGTGTCGTTTCAGCTTCTTACAGGCTGCTTCAGCGGCTCGCTGACTTCCTCTCAGCTCATGTGGCTTCCTGGCATTCTGCCAGGCTGCTTCACCCCCACCATAAAGCTTCCACTGCCCACAAGACCATTCTGCTGCCTGTCCCGTGTGAGACAGGAAGCTGGGCCCTCCTGGACAGTGACCTCACCACAGGAAGAGAGGAGGGTGTGTGCTCTGTGTGTGTGTGTGTGTGTGTGTGTGTGAAATCGTAGTTTCTTCTGATAAGCCCTGAAGCATTTTTGCTGCTTCAGCTGCTCCACAAACAAGAAAAAAAAGCTTAGGACACCATTCTTCCTTTTCATAGAGCACTTTTTAATGTGTACATGTCCAGCATGGCTTGTTAACACACTAAACTAGAATTGAACACAACACAAATGTAAAAAAAAAAAAGGCTTTCTAACAAAAAAAAAACATCCAAAATATTCATTGGAATGTTACAAACAATGAAATAAAAACACATTTTCCACATCATCTCATCTCAGGCAGAGATGAAACTGAAATTCTTTATTTTACAGAAAATAACAGAAACAAAGAGTCAAACGGCGTGAAGCCAGTCTCTACTGTAGCTGCAACTAGAGGATAGAGGCAGTTTTATTAGGTCGCCTGCCCACCAGTCTTGAGTGTCCTTATGGGGCATGATGATCACTCATCTGTTGCACTCTCAAGGCTCTGAAAGTCATTTTTAAGCCTTCGTTTCTGTTCCATTCCATGGAGAGTTAGTGGAGTGGCCATTTAAAATGAGTGGTTTCCAAGTGGATGGGCTCAGTGAGCAAGCTGAGGGGCATTCTGGGAAAACAGGAGAATCTGGGCAAACCGCAGTCCTCTGGGGCCCAACTAATCTAGACTACAAAAGCTGACTTAAGTGAAAAGTGAGGCAGTATGTTCTTCGGATTCTTTGCTGTCCGTCCGTCTTCAGCGGAGTTGTGGTGACAAAGACAGAACTGCACGGAGAAACCGGCTGATGACCAGACAATGCACTGGACACCGGCGCTACCTGGTCACACCAACAACAAACGACACTCTCTGGTGTGGAAGTTACTACTGATGGAGGAAGAGTCAGTGAAATGTTTAGAAATAAAACTGGAGGAAGCATAAAAGGCAAATGAAGACGATCAAAAGGAAACATTTTGACTTGTTGAGATGTGTCTGCACTTCATTCAGGCCGCTGCGTAAAGTCAGACTGACAGGAAAGCTGGATGAACTGAAGCGACATGGCTGCGTTTGAGCTGATTGATGTTTGAACTGCTCTAAATTGTGGAACATGCTGGATTCAGAAATCTTAATGTTGAGGCATCATGTGGCTCAGTGACAGAGCTGTTCTGGACTGGACTCTTGACCCATGTACTGTGTGTCGTCCTCTTATCTCGTCATCCTTCCTCCTGCTGAGCTTCTAGTGAATGAGAGCCACATGAACCAAAGGAAATGTTGGCAAGCTTTGGGACATTTCAGGGTCTAGAGTTGCTAAGGAACACACAGAAGCTGCTACTAATGCATTGCTAACAAAACTAAAGGTGTGTTTTGAGAACTAGACGTGGAACTCTTAAGTATCCAGACCATTTTTATGCCATCAGAGGAGACGTCATGGTGAGGTGTTGACTCAACAAGCCCCTTATGCTTGGAAGTGGCTACATATAAATGCACCGTTTTTACCCCCCTCACCCTCCCAAAAAAAACAATAACAGAAATGACAAATGCAAATACATTATTAAAATCGAGGTTTGCCAAAATAGGCAGACCACATCTTAGTGGAAGCTGGATATCAGGTACAGATCTCCGATTGGTCCGCCTCTAATTGCTGCCTTCTAAATAACGGTGGACTGGAATCGGAGGCGTCAGGCTTTCTGTGCTGAAAGCTGGGCTGTTGGGGCTGAGCCAGGAACGCTCAGCATGCTGTGTTTACACAGAGACATCCTGAGACACATGAAAGCTCAGCATGTCCGAACCTTCCCCACGCTGGCATCTGAGACCCTCAGAGTGTACCGCCTGCTTCCTGGTCCAGGCCTTAAAGAAAGCAACAGAGCTGACAGGTAGAGTGTTTGTTTAAGCAAATTCAGTCACAGCTGATCTAAAAACAGGCCGGACCGCTTTCCTAAAGGGAAGGTGGGCTGAGATTGGGTTGAGGGAGACAATAATGTTTTTGTGCGAGTATGCATCCAAGGAGAAGGAAAGAAAAATGGAGGGAGGGGAGAGTGAGAGAAAGAGAGAGGAAGAGAGCAGGCCATTGTTGTGATGATTCCTCTGGGCTTCCAGGGCCGGGCATGCAGAGGGGGTGGAAGATTTACTATCAGAAAATAGAGCTCACTGATGGAGAGTAGGGCTGATTAACTGAACACTTCAACACGCGCATCAATCACCTCTGACAAGAGTTCTTTCAATACTTCTCTCACGCTTGGTGTCCAGAGACAACGAGCGAGACGGAACAACGAGAAGCTGCTGAAACCGGCAGAGCGCGGCGATCTCTGAGGCGCAGCGGCTCGTTCAGCTTCCCGCTGGCTCCCCGCTCTTTAAAGTGGTTGTTTGGAGGTCACAGGAAAGGCAGATTGATGAACTCTATCTGCTACTTAGTGTCTAATGCGGTGAGTGTGCACTTTCTGAGCCTGTCCAGACACTGGGATGTCTGAGTACTCGCAGATGTCCCAGCTGGACCAATGGGAGCAGAGGACAGGAGAGGACGGTGCTTTTAGTGCTGATTAGCTGCGTCCGCCAACCACTCCCCCTCTGACAACTTACTAATGATGAGGGGGGTGAGAGATGGACAAAGGACACCGTTTCTAAGCAACCAGGATTGACTTGCCTTAGATCAATCTCCAGGTTCTTGTCAGGCTGAGTGTCCCGTTAACTGTTTAGTTGTCCCACCAACACAAGCCTTCACCTTAACCCTGCAGTGGGCCTCGGGGTCAACGGCCAGACTCAAAGCTATTCCTTCCTCTTCAACCTTTTCACATTTTGTTGTGCTGCAATCACAAACGTCTACATATTTTATGATAATTTACTGCTATATGATTTAAAACTTAGGTTAAATTTGTTTTTGTTGTTGTTGATATGCAAACATTTTAGTCCTTAGAGATTCCCACTTGGTGGAGACAAACCTCAGAAGACTTGAAGCTGTAACTGCAGCAAAATGCGGTTTCCACCGTGCATCGACATCAGGAGCATGACACGCTTTCCAGATTTACTTTATGAAGGTCTGTCACATCAAATACCAAAAAGACACTGACGTTTGTGATTGGAGAGTGACAAAATGTGAAAAAGTGCAAACAGTACACAGGAAGTGGTTTTACTTAAGCAGCGAGTGAGAGACGTCTAGAATAAGTCTTACTGACTGTGAGTTTCCAGGACTTTGGTAGAATTTCAGACAAATCTGCCTCCCATGGCCCCTCCTTCTTCTTGTTCTCCTCTTCCGTCCAGCCCTCATTATTCCTGAGATCTACGCTTTGTAGCCTCAGGGAGGCAAAGTCAACGTCCTTCCCCTCCCGTCCCTTCCCCCCTCCTTTGTTTCAGCTGTAGGACGGTCAGACACTCCCCAGTTACATCTGAGCAACCTGACAAAGCTCCACCCATCACTCCCCATGCTCCTTCCTTATAGATAAGCCTTTTTTCATTTGCGGTCAAGCTTGACCCAACAGTTTGACTCACCTTTAGATGCTAAATCAGAGTAATGATAAGAAACAATTTCTTTCAGAGCACTTCAACTCAGATTTACCGCTAAACCACAATGTGACAGTGGAGATACTAACACCAAACAGTAAGCTCATTTCACAACCTAAATTAGTCATTTTTTAATAAGTCAGTTTTCAAGAGACAAAACAAACCGTAACATATGGAATGTTTTTTTTGGTTAGCAGTCTTTCTTTCAAAGTGTGAATAAAGCTTCACTTTATCTAAAAATCTAGACTACAACTGCGCTGAGGCAAAATAAGCAATTCCACACTTGCTGATCATGTTTAATTTGCCCTGCAGGGCTGATCCAATGACTTTTACAAAGACTTCATTCTTTGTTCTTGCAAGATGAAAAAGGAGCGAGGAGCTTTCCGATACAGGGGAACTTAAGGATTTAAGGGAAAGGTCCAGGGGGTTAACGGCATTTTGTGCACACCTGCTGTTTTTCATGAGGAGGATTAGCCTGTGCTCACATGAGCCCACCCTGGTGTGTCCAGATACCCCACTGTTCTGACACCGAGATCGCAGGTCATCATTGTTGATTTGTGCTCGACAGACAGGCTGTTTGGGAGTGTGTGGAACATTAGCTGGGCCCTTCTACGGTTTAAGGTTAAGGTTCTCTCAGATAATGAATACTCCCCCTCGTGTACAGCACAAAGGAAATTCCTGATTGTTGACAGAGAAGAGGCAGACTGAGGATAAGTCTGTCCTGAATGTAAAGGGAACAGGTTCTCCTTTGACTCTGTTTACCCTGAAGGACAGAGAAGTCTTTACATTTGTTCCCATATATGGGAAGAAGTATGGTCCAGCCAGCTGAGAAGCAGCTAAAGCAGGAATGCTAAGCTTTGCTTGATAATGCTCAACATTTACTGCAACCTGAATCTTATTTTAAGTCATGATTTCTAGATTATGAGATTGTAGATCTGTAATTTATTCATCACTATTGTGAAAAGGAGATGAATGCCAGTGCTTTTCAAAAAGACCATATAAATATCAGAGTTTTAGCCTGATTAGCATGTTTGTTTCGTGCTTTTGAGACCTGTCGCAAATAAAATTAGGCACTACCCTAACATGACCTGTGGAGGTTAGGAGAACTACTGGCACAGTGAAGCTTTTCTGATTTGCTTTGAGGAACTAATGAGATGCAAAGCTAAAACAAGCTAACAGACGTTAGCACAGACGTTAGATGTTTTGCTCACTGTTTATGTTTTTTTTTTTTTTTTTTACAGCTATGACCATATAAAGTAGAATCCTCCTAGTCGGAAGCTAAAGACGTTAAACTTTGCCTGAATTGTGAATTGGGTTTATGAGGAGATATAGCAGAAACTACAATGGCTGGTAGTCTTTGTTTCTATGACGATTTCTTTTTTTTCAAATCTCACAGATGAGCAGCACAAATATATCTTTTCTTTTTTGCTGAAGAAAGATGACAAGCGAACAGCTGAAATTAACCAAAGTTGATCGAATATAATAAATTAATTACACAATATAATTGTGATTTCTGCTGTGATTTTGTTATTTCTGTGTGTTCCTATTCAACAAACCACAAGATGGAAATCTTCTGCTCAACATACTGGCACAAATGGGATGTACAGCATGTTTGGCAGTTACTGTCTACGAGTGACTCATTATATTCTGAGATTTGATCTAGTATAGCTCAAAGTCTCACTACTCCAGTTATTTTTACCGAAGTTATTTGAGAAATTGTGAAAAGAAATTGAATTAAGCCTTTAGGGGGAGATGATACCGACATCAACATCACGTCGAAACTAAGGATGACAACCACGGCTAAATTAATCACCCAAAATTAATTTAGCTCCTGTTTTCTTTGTTGCTGTTCACCATTTCCTGCCAGTCGTGACCTTTAAAGTGTAATGCAGCCCACAGCTCCTCCATTGTGGTTTCCAGAGCACAGACAGTAGCTATGTGTGAACTAGGCCACTCGTCAATTCAACACCAAAACGAGAGGTTTCAACAAGTCTTAATTTGGAGCCATGTTTCCTGATGAAGAATCTCAAAGAAGTCTGATTTCTAAAATTTGTGTCAGCATGAACATGGTGGATTCAGTTCTAAAGGAAAAAAAAGGAAATCCAAGGAGTCGCCAAGGTGTCCACCTGGTTCTTTCAACAACTCTGTTGAGCAGATGAGCTGATCCAAACTTTTTTTGGGGGGGCGAGGGAATAAAGTGATCAATCATGTAAGAAAAATCCAAAACCACCCTGGAAAACACCTGTCCTGTAACTGCCTGACTCAGAGGGTTTGAGCAAAGCCACACATGAGATACAAAAATTTCCCAGATTTCAGCTGAAACTGTGTTAACCATTTCCAGTTAAACCCTGCAGCATGTCTTTGATACACTACACTGCAGACAAGCATCTAAATGTGATGACAGAATTGATTATCAACCAAGCTTCAAACCCAAGTGCTCTGTCTACACGTTTGCTTACCCTTTGTGAGATGACATAAGCAGATGTTACGATATCCTCAAACAGAAAGCCCCGTTGAGATTCAGGGGAAGGAGGAGGGCCTTGCAGAGGAGACAGAGAGCAGAACAGCTTTCCTGGTTATGAACTAATAATAACAACATGAAGTCTCACACAGAAGGAACCAAAACAAAACATGAAAAAAAATGTGCAAAGTTCTGTCATAAATAGACTACAGTCAACGCACTGTAGAGCACCATGGGCGAAGGGAGGTGGTTAAGGTGGTGTATCAGTGTCTCTAAATGTAAGACATAATTTATGTTCGCTTGTAGTTTTTATCAGTACTGGATCAGCATGGATCTACTGCCACATTTACTAAGAGCTGCAGGAACCACTGAGCACAGATGGATCACCAGAAAGAGGTCTGGGTGAGAGGAGGGGAGGTATGTAAAGTTCAGAGCCTCCTCAAGCCAAGGGTCAGACCCAGTCCTGAAGGGAGCGCTTGCAGTGCACCAGCAGCCGCGGCGTCCCTTTGCTCTGCAGCGTGTTGATGATGGCGTAGATCAATCCTAGGATGCACATCACCAGGACCAAAGGAATGGTCACCATCAAAATGTTCATGGTTCGTTCCTCGCTGTCATCCACCTTCAGCACCACGTCTACCTCATTGGTGTCTTCTTCCCGACCCTCAATGTAGTCTTCGTCCTTGTCCTTGTCCTTGTCCTTGTCTGAGCCTTTGCCCTTGTCAGAGTCTGTGCCTTCGCGGTCTGTCCCATCCCGTCCTTTGCCCTTGTCCGCATCACGGCCCGCGTCTGGGTTGAACGGTGGACGGTTTAAGTCTGGGTATTTGCGTCCGGAGTCAGTGTCTCTGTCGGGATCCAGGTCCACACTGCAGCCCATGAAGTCTCTCAGGATGGACTTGGGATAGCCTGGTTCGCTTTTCATACGCTGGTTATCAAACTTCCAATACTTGGAGCCCTTATAGAAGAAGGTGTATGCTGGAACATGCAAAAACATCAGAATGTGTCACCATAAAAAGCAAGACATGTTTATCTTTTTCACTTTCAGCTGAAACACTGGCGATATTAACTAACGGTTGCTCAAGACTTGACCACACCCCGATTCTTTGTTTCAGGCAAGTCTCAGTCTGCTACAGGCACTTCCACTCATACACACAAACACACACACAGCTCACCCCCATCATCACTAAGGAAGGCCCCCTTGGGAGAAGAAGGCACTGAAGAGTCCCAGACATCGATTGACTTTGGGTAGCCCCTGTCAGCAGACTGTGACGTCTCATCAAAGCGCCAGTACCTGAACAAAATGGCGGAAAGAAGGTTTTGCTTCTGGTTGTAAACTGTCTACAGAAGGCCAAACTAACTAGGCTTGACACTCCTGCCATGTTCATATTTAAACAGCTCATAGTGAACTGAAAACTTCTCTAAATCAGCTGAGGTACATTTAGCTCAAACTGCACATTTTGGCACTAAAAGAAGATTCAGGACATTAGCACAATGAGGTGGATATGTTGTCTATGCATTATTGATGGTGACGCATTTAATCTAAATGCATCATTGACAGACTGAAGGCTACTTTACCTGTCTCCTTGAAAGAAGTAAGTGTAGCCGGACGGTTCCCACCAGATTGCGGTGTCTATCCGGTCGTAGGGAATATCTCGACCATAATCAACCAGATCGAGAGGGTAGCCCGGTTCCAAGTTTGCCTCCCTGAAGAGCCAAAATCTGTTTCCTGATGAAGACAAGGGGAGAAAGGAGAAGAAATCAGGTTAGTTTTCCTTCACAGGCAAATATGACCTACATAACCTCAAGTACTTTGACTTATAAGGAAAACTTAAGTGCCGATGTGAGCTTTTTTGCACTGGGAAAGGCTCAGAAATACATGCGCTCATCCATGCATTTCTGGTAATTCAAGTCAAGAACAGTCATAGAAACCCAGACTTTATATATGCAAGTTTGTACATTATAAAAATGAACAAATTATGTGTTGTTAAGTAATCAGAAAACACATCAACAGCGAGTATGGCATCACTGAGTCAGAAGTTTGTGTTTGGCTAATAATTATACATTAGGAGCGGCTGGTCTTCTGTCAGACTACAGCTTTATTCTCACTGAAAGAACGATTTTACTGTCTTAACAACATTAGGTTTTAAGGAGGAGGTGCTCAGTTCCAGTATTAAGTTCTTCTTTTTATTTTGCCTCGGTCTGCTTTACCCATCTTTCAGAGCTAACCACGCTAATATTTATTATGCAACCCCTGGAAGCATCAGACGATTCCAGGGGTTGTTTTGGTACAATTCAGATCTAAATGTAATCAATTCTAGAAAAAATAAGTATTCAAAGATACTAATTTACATTACAATCCATATAGAATGACCCATTCTCATTTACCCAAATTAAGCAAATTCTTTCTCCAGCAGCCCCTCGTGAATGCATCCAGAAAATACAAATGCAACGTTTTTTAGTCAGCAAAATTAGACTAACAGGAAAAAAGATGAAATCCGTAACGCTACAAGCTAACACTACAAGTGACCCTGACGCTTGAAAGCAACTTAAAAAGGTCAGTGTTAACACTTACACAAAGTATCTTACCTACTCTTTAGACAAATAGCAAAGTGACACTTTGTAATTGTGTATTTTTCTTAAAGAGGGCTGAATTTTTTGGTTTTGCGTTAAGTAGAGAGGTTAAAGGATTGCCTCATTGTGCCTATAAAAATTTTTGCCATGGTATTGAAAAAAGTAGTTAATATTTAGTGTGAAATTTGAATATCGTTAAGTTTGACTCATTTCTTTATCTTCGAACATCCCTCTACAAGCCCAGCAGGTTTTGTCTTGGCAAGCTGACTAATGCATAAATATATCAAGAGCTTGTCATTTTGGCCCTCTGCCATTTCATAACACTTTTTGGAGAACAAGATAGAGCTATGTGCGATGGGATATTTTGTACCCTCACTGTGTCAATTTCCACAAGTTAGAGGATATTTCAACTGACGCTTCAAAGTCATTGTCGTTGTCTACTGTACAGAAATGTGGTCACTTCCTGTCAGTAAGGCAAGATCCACTAGCAGGAAGTTGCTTAGAGCTATTTTGATCAGGGGAAATAATCTGTCATAGTCTATGAGAGAATTGATTTCTGACATGAAAGTATGAAAGAATGAAATAGAGTGTGGGTATAAAATGGGGGGAATAAATTAGGTACCTTTGCTGCAATTACAGTGAGAAATTATACAGTTCAGTTGGGCCAGCAAGAGGAAAATGAATGAGTCTGTAATCCATAAAGTTGAAAAACAATCAGTGAAATTCAGACTGACAGTTGACATTACTGACGATTCATTTTATTGGTGACTGATGTACAAATGTTCTCAAATACAGCAAAATGTCTGCTAACCGAGTCACTGCAAGATGTAGAGCAGTAATTGGCATTTACATCATTCTTGGCTCATTTCACATAAACACAAGCATAAAAGGAAAACCGACTGATCTGATGGGCGTTTTTTTTTTTTTTTTTCTAGGAATATACGTCCCTTCTCCGTATTGAGCCATGAAGTCTGACGTTCTGGCCAGTGCCTTTTCTCCTTGTCTGGCCCTTCCTTCACTAATGGCTCGTAGCCAAGTGTCACACCGAGAGGCTCGCCAATGACATCATTCTCCTCATTATCAACAGCTGCCCCCAAATCATGCAGTCCATCAGAGTGAGGCAGAGCTAAAGGCTAAACGCTTCCTTTTTCATACAGCAACTTCCATTGAGAGATATAAAATGCTATCTGCTATCTGAGACTGACAGTATAAAATAACAGGCAGTACAGAGAAAGATTTATGCAGAATACATTACATACTGTAGTTCTCTTAGAGGGAAACCAGAAGGTTCATAAGCTTTTCAAAGAAGTTCAGTGACAAATGTGTAGTTTAGAATACGGAGAGCAGGACACAGTTTTGATAATGACTGCCATTAAAATTAAATGGATTGTACATTTTCAACAAATCTGAATATTACATTGTGGAAGTTTGTGTTAGTGTACAATTATTACTGTTAGTTAGTTTAGCTTTGGGGTCTAATTTGACTTTGACTTTAATTCAGGTATAATTGGCATCTAAAAGTTGGGGGTATAAATTAGGCCCAGGACTTTAATGTGTTAATTTCGATTGATTAATTAATTACACAGATCTTAATGCGTTAAAATTTTAACGCAACCATCTGGAAAATGTACTCAGAACATTTGAGTACAAAAGTTCCAAGTGGAACCTTTGTACTCAAATGTTTCTAGTAAACTTGTAAATCTGAAGCACAAGCTACATCTGCAAATAACAGCAATGGGAGACAAAGCGGCTTCTCTTGGCCCACTAGGGGTTCCGTTTTGCTTCAATAAAATGACCAGATGGGATGCTGGAAAAGACTATTGTTGTGTTTAAGTTGTGCTAATCACAGTTAGGCTATAGGTGAAGATATTCAAGCCTAAAATTGCATCTCAATGCTAAATATGTAGCAGCAGCACCGACATCCCCAACGCTAATGTCAGTGACCACAGTCCATATTTCTAAAGAAGGGTTTTTTTCAAAGAAGTTCCATGAATAATCAGGGATTCCTGAAACACTGAAAATCTGAGTAGGTAGAATAACACTTTGCACCAATGTGATGGTTAGAGAACCTGCAAAACAGATTCAAAACATAGACATATGTTGAGCTCATATGTCTATTTATTCAATAATTTTTCAGCAAAAAGGGTTTTTGAATTGAAGATTTTACTTATTTTGTTGACATATGGTTTTCGACTAAAATCTGATTAATTAATTCACTCAAACATCTACATCAGGCCCCACCACTATTTAAAGTCGTCTTGTTTGTGAAAACTGATTTATGCATCAGAGATCAGAGATCCACTCATCAGGCTTTTCCCATATGATCCCAATTTGGAGTCTAATTGGTTGATTCCAGTTTTGTCCAATTACTTTCCTCCTACAAACAACTGTAAGGACCTAACAAGAAGAATGTGCTGAAAGGTCTTTGGTTTGGTGTGATACTTTTGATTCCAGAAAATGAAGGGATTACAAGATTGTTCCCATTTATGCACCAAAGCATAAGAGCATGCTGTTGGTTGTAGACAGAAAAATGGTGGAAGTTCTTAGTTTTGATGGATTTTCTGATCACCACTCAGAGCCAATCAGTGAAAATCTGCTGATCTTGATCTCTGACCAATTCATTGCTGTATCTCCACTTTTTATCGCATAAAAACACATTACTCCAGGCAATAACTGGTTCTTTCCTGTTATTTCAAGCATGGAGAAAAATAATACATAATAGCAATGGCTGCAGTAAAATACCTGTTAGAATTATAACACTGCCTTTTAGCATGAGAGCCCAGGGCAGCATGCTTCAGTCTGTCTTTGCAAACTTTCTGCTTACCTTTAAAGAAGACGAACCGGCCGTCATGTCTCTCGTAAGCGGCATCGATGTCACCGGGCAGACCCCTCCAGAAGTGGCCAATGGGCATGGGGTAGTTATCCAGCACCCTGTTCCTCCGCACCCTCCAGAACCACCGACCCTGCAGGGTTCAACATCGCGGGTGTGAGTCGTGGCATTACTTAGAACATGCTAGAAAAAGCAGCTTCTGTTCGTCTTCACACCTTTAAAACACATCAAACCCAATGAAACTACGAATTAATAATATAATAAAACCTGACAACACGCTGTATTAAAAGGGTGCAAATAGATCCAGACCAATATTTTTCACTGGTCACCAAGCTCTTGTAGCACTGAGGTCACACACACAGCAGTGTGTTCAAACTCTGCGGTTGTTATGCCAATTAAACTGAGCGCTAAAGGATAACGAGAGCAGAACGGACAATAAAACAGCAACAGCAGAAAACTGACAGGCTAATAACAGTTTGATGGTTCCATCACAGCCCATTACTCCTCTCTCTGCTCGTTACTCTGCTGCTATATTGCATTTTTCATAAAGTGCTTTGTAATTTTTACTGTCAGATTAACAGCTCAAAACAATGAAAATCACCACTGTCCCATTTTACACAATCATTTGGTAATACTTTGCCTTATGGGCATTAAGAGCTCAGACAAACGCTACTGACTCCAGTAGACCTACTTTCACCAGAAGACTGTCTGATCATTTCTAAGTGTTGAGTCAGCAGGAGAACCTTCTTGATCTGTAAAACAGTAAAACGCTGGGCACTCGCTTCTTTCTGGCAAACACACCTGGTTTCGTCCTTCATGCAGGACACAGGAGGATGGATTCATTTGTTTACCTGAGATTGATAAAAATCCGTCTTGAATGTCTGCCAGACTTTCAACGAATAACCAACAAATGTAATTAATACACAAAAAAACAGATGAACAAATTAATGATTGGCTACAAAATTATTAAAAACCTAATTTTCCCTATAAGTGAAGTAATTATGATTATTCAAAAGAAGTGAAACTCAGTAATATTTCTTAGATTTTTGTTTTTGCTCTGTGTATGAAAAGGGGCAGGACTTTTCTTTATTAGTTATTTTAATGTGCCTCAGATCACATTCAGATCAGTCAGCTGGCTGAGATGAAACCCTGAAGCGCAGAGCTAACTCTCTGACCGTGAGCAGCACACGTCCAGGCAGCCAGATGTCAGGCTACTGTGTCTGTTGCTCTGCATCAAACACACCTACTCTCTCAAATAAGAGATGCTCACAGACTGATCTATGTGTTGGGAGGAGCAGGGACCCACTCCGGAACAGACCTCTATAAATCTACGTTTCTTATGCAACTCTTGTCAAGAGACGACTCTTTCCTCGCTTCATGTTTTGTTACATTGGCATTTCAGCGGTTTCCTGGGATCCAGTGGAATCGCTCTTGGATATGTTGAGACACTGATGCAGCTACTGCAGCACCTCCTTTGAAACACACCATTACTCATGTTGTGCTGCTGCTCTCAGACTATCACCAAATAAGTCCTGGATACACCAAAACACAGCTAAGTGTTGCTGAAATTTCCGTAAACTCCAGCCCTAAAACGAATCCCGCGGACTTCTTGCATCAGTGACCGGTAAGTGTTGCTGAAGCACCAGCTGATTCATAATGACAAACCACCACAAGACTGGAGGTGCATAGTATCAAACAAATGTCTTCTGAGAAACATGAAAATCTCGCTGGGAGCAAAACCAGTCAACAGCAGAAGGATGGGATTGTATGTGAGCAGTCAGACAAAGCTAGGAGCTTAGGTAATAGCTTACTCATGTCTAATGCCTTTTAAATGTTTTGTGTGGGTCCAGAGGCTCCTAAAGCGAACACCTGAACACCCCCAACTCTTCCAGCAGGGCCTGTATCTCATAAAAGAGCGCCGGCCTGTTAGTTTACAATCCACAAAGCCCTGATTGAAAGCAGACCTGTTCTTGGGCGCGCCACACGTCCTTTCTCTTAAAGGACTCCAATTCCGAGCTCTGATTTTTCTACGAGGAATGAAACCTCATGTCCGATCGGGTGTTGAACCTGAACCTAAAGCTTCGTCAAAGAATTTACCTTAAAAACGAACATCTCTCCACGCAGCATGGCAACGGTGTCAAAGTTCCCCTCACAGATATTGGGCCCATAGTGGTCGGGTCTGTCTGTGGTCCTGGGGCGGGGGGGATTCTGAGGTGGTCTGGGTTCTGGGCGGCGAGCCGGCACGGTGGGTAGCGCCTGAGTGGGAACGCCGTTGGGTTGACCTTTAGAGAGTCACAGAGCGGGGTCAGCTGAGTCAGCACGATGATCAGTATGTTCTCTGTTTGGTCTGCTTAACTTGCTGAAACTGATCCAAAGCAGAACACTTAGCAACATTTATGTATATGCCATACCATTTCTTCATATGTAAAGAAATGGTATGGCTGGACAATATGGCTGAAAAACAAATAAGCATTTCATATCATTTGATAGATAAATATTGATTCATTTTTTGTTTTAAATATCTGAAATACTGTCAAACAGGTGATGGGACCTTTCCTGTTTTATCCACCACAAATCTGGAACAAACTTCCAGAAAACTGGAAAACAGCCAAAACACTGAGTTCCTTTAAATCTAGACTAAAAACCCAACTATTTAGAATTGCTTTTTAACAATAATAATTGGGACATATCTGATGTGTACTGATGATCTTGATGATGGCACTCCTCAAAATGTAATTATTGTTACCAGTTTCCCAATTAGTGACTGTATGATGTTTATATGACTCCTTATTTTTGTGTTTTTATGGTGGTATGCACTCTGAACTGCCTCGTTGCTGAAAGGTGCTATACCAATAAACTTGATTGATTGATTGATTGATTGATTGATTGATTGAGTGATTGATTGATTGATTGATTGATTGATTGATTGATTGATTGATTGATTGATTGATTGATTGATCATATCTATTACAATATGTTGTTATTGATATACTGTCCACTCTGAGGAAATGGCTAATTTAATTCCATATAAATGACATAGCATATAAATTAACCTTTTGCTTACTAAATGTATTTATTTTTTGGAAATCCATCGTAGTAATCATTATTAATAATACATTTTTGAAATGTTATTTATACTTTAAGGAATAAAATGGCAGAAAGTTGAAGACTAAAGCTTCTCCTTTGAACAAGACTAATTTATTCCTGTTGCTTGTGAAGATGTAAAAAGAGAAGTTAAGATGACTCATATATACTAAAAGCTGAACCAGCGCTTCACTAGAGCGTCCACACACCTTCAACTTGTTCACAGTGTGACACAACAGTAACATGATGCTGTGGGAAAGCTGGTCAAACCTCATCAGAATATGGCTGGAGATGGAATGCACACAAATGACTGGAGGTTACAAAACAATGGAGACTAGAGAGACTCCCCCATAGTTCATTCGAATTGACGCGTGGTCACAAGGTTTCTGAACGTTTGTGTTCACAGACATGTTTCACACACTGCAGCTTCAGTAAATATCACGCCCTGACCCAACAATGTCCCAATTTCTATCCAGGAGTTTTTAGCCTTTTGATAGTCTTATTATTATACTAGTTATATAGTGAAGAATCCTACAAACGTGCATAATTCCTCCTCACATAAACACCCCTCATAAATATTCGTGTCTCCTGCGGATCCATGAACCAGATAGTGGAAGACAAATATCAACATTGCTGACTCTGGATTTGTTTTGGGACTCTTTGCACAGAGCTCTGTGAAATTGTTTCCATACGGGCCTGGTGTGGAGAACGGTAGGCGGTTGCCTGGATTTCAGCACTTTGGATGAAGTACGGGGGAACCTTAAGGTTGAGCAATTAGTTGCAGCGGTTTCGGTCAAAGATAGTCATGTGTTGGAGTTGCTTAGTCAAAATCTAGACATATCAAATTGAGAATTTGCAGCAAGACTTTGCAAACTGATTTTCTCAGACACTCCTTCCAATCTGACTCATTTTTGCTTCATAGCACCATAAAACACCTGCAGCTGTATTTGTAACAAAAGACGACTCAGAGGGGCACTCACCACACTCTTTAGATTTTTTTATTTCTGAAAGCATTAGCATTTTAATAATAATGGATCATTATGTTTCCCCTTCATACTTCAGATTGCTTTGTTATATAAAATCTCCTAGTTTGTGGTTCTACAAAATGTAGAAAAGTTTAAGAGGGATCTATAATGTTCTACTTTTCTAAAAGCATATCCTGACATAACCTGGTCAAAAGTAAATAAATCCTTATTTCCAATACTTTTGTAAGGGAACTTGTATGAGTTTAAATGAGAATGAACTGAGTAGTGGAGTGGAAGGGTTAAAGGTTACCGTAGATCTGCTGTATGCCTTGTCGGTCGTCGTCCGGAAGCTGGAAGTTATCTGTCTCCATCCATTGGTAGAAGGGAGCCATGATGGCCAGGGGGTTACTGGAGTGCTCCAAGCCCAGGGCGTGGCCCAACTCATGGACCGCCACCAGGAACAGGTCATTACCTGGATCAACACAGAACACGTCAGCGGACAAGACTGTAACCAGGAGATAACCACTGAGCTGAGGATGTCTAAAAGAAACCTCAAAGAGATTATTTGGCTTCATAAAAAAAAAAAAAAAAAAACTTTATTACTTTATTGATCCCAAGGGGAAATTAAATCAAGACTTACTTTTATTGTGCAGCTTTTGGGACAGAAAGAGGGAAATCGGTATGTGTCATGTTTAAGACAGAGTGTCCCTTATTTTCTCCTCCTCTCAGTGATCAAACAGACACAGCTATGCTAATGACAGCTGATATGAATCAGCACACATTCCTGTCCCATTAAACAGGTCAAGGAAGTAATGACCCCATGCACACTGCGAAAACACAAAATCTAAGTATCGTTGGTCTAGTTGCTGGTACAAATATCTCTTGAAATACAACAAAACTTACAGATAACTTTTCAGCAAGTTATAGGAGCTTGTTTTAAGTCAAGAATTTCTTAATATGTATTTAAAAATGTACTGGTTCCATAGGTAGAATATTTCAGTTACAACATGGGAAAATTTTATTTTTATAAGTGAAATAATCTGCCAGTGGAACTAGTGCCTTTTATCAATAATAAGGAATTATTGACTTAAAACAAGCCTCCTATTGTGCTGAAAAGTTACTCTTAAGTTTTGTCTTATTTCCAGAGTACGAAGAAATTTGCAGTAGGAGCTAGATCAAAAATGCTTGGTAATATTTTGAGTTTTTGCAGTGCTACAGTGTACACGTTACACATCTCAGATCAGAAGAAGTCAGAGAGAGAGAAGGAGGGAGAGACTGAGAGAAGAGAGAGAGAAGGAGGGAAAGAGAAAGAGAGAGTTTCGTAAAGGTAAACAACACATTTATCTCCAGCATGTTCCTGTAGGTTCGTATCTGAAGGGAAGCCAAAACAACGGAGGGTATTTCCTCTAACTCTATACCTCTTTGTTCTTCACCCGGTGCCGTGAACCCCAATGAACTTTGAACTTGCGAAGTGTTATGTCTGACCCATAATGAGCTGCACTGATTGGTCAGACTGGCATGAATGACATCATGTTTTAAAGAAAATGACAGTGACTTCACTGCTGTGCATGGACCAGAGGGTAAAACACAGCGATCTGGTCTATCTGTTCATTTCCTCTCAGAAACACACACAGGGACACGGAGTTGCCCCCCCGCCCCCTGCCCCCCGCTCCCCCACCACCTTGTGTACTTTCCGAGTCACATGCAAGTCCTCATGGAATGCTGAGATACAGCAAACACTTCAGGGAGGAGAACAGCAACGGACAAGATAGAGTGCAGGAGATAGCCGGCGATGAACGAGGAGAGAGTGAGCTCTGGGTCGAGATAAAGAGGCCTTTGTGAGGTAACCGTGGCGACCCTTCAGCTGGACACAGAAAGGAACAGGAAACCTCAAATGTCTCAGTGCAGCTAGATGTTAGGCCAGTGAAGCTAAATCAGAGTTATGCAAGTTCACCATTTCCGTCTGTTTGCTTCTGTTGTACATGTGAAAAAGTATTCACTCCCTTACATTTTCTTCTGTTTTTTTTTTTAATTTTCTATCAAACTGAACGGTTTTAGATCATAATGTCAGGAAATGATAAGATTAATTTATTAAGGCATGATTACTGTAGAACCATTAACATTCCTAAACAGAACAGGGCTGCAGCTAATAATTATTTTAGTAATTGATTATTCTATCAATTGATCTGACAATTCATTGATCAATCAGATAAAAATATGACAATAACTACTCAGTTACAAATTTAAACCCAATAAATAAATTCATTAAAGGGGCAGTATTATGTATTATGCCATTTTATAACATAATCAAGTAACTATGTTACATTCAGTAGTTACAAAAATGATTTATATGACATTAAAGACTCTCTACCTCCTAATTTAACGCTTTGACATTTTTGCCTCTGACTCTTTATAAACGCCTGCTCTTTCTGAAGCTCCGCCTTCATGAAGTCATCATAACATGGCTCCTCTATTAACCCTTTATCAACATTTTTATCAAGGCTGCACTGAAGTAGCTGCTATAATGAGCTCAGCAGATGTGCAGTTCCACCAGGTGTTTGCTAATTGCTGCTGGCTAGTCTGAAGGAGCTGAATGAGGAAGTAGGAAGGCTGATCTGTGAGGTGGAAGCTTGGAAGCTACAGCTCTGAGGAGGAGCTGCATCTTGAAGGTGGTGCTAGGTCTCACCAGGTGTTTTGCAAAGCTGGTCGGTTGCTATGGAGAAAGTTTCTCCTCATAATGAGAAACTGTTTCGTTTTACATGTCGTTACAACCAGAAATTGGTCCTAAATTTATTTCCATTTATTGCCCGTAACTGGCAGCTAAAGGCGTCTGTCAGAACCTGTCTGCTCATTGCATGCAAAGTATCGCATTGGGAAAGAAAATCTCTCGTTTTGAGCCGAAGGCCTGTTGTCATTTACTGTGACAACCACAGAAAGTTAAAGATCGCAAATGACAAATATCAGTGTTTGATATTTTCTAGGAAAATCCTGCAGTGTCACTGCTGCTCCAACCAAGCTAATTCTTGTCCTCTTTCCCTCACTTCCGCTGCCATCTCCTTTCCCTCTGCCTCCTTCTCGCCCTTTCTCACTGTCTGACTCTAATAATAAGTACATTAGCATCCGCAGCCTGCTGTCTATGGGTGGACCCGCGTGTCAGTGGAATCTGTCTGAATGATAGTAACGTAGCAGCAAGGCAAGCAGCCTGGCATCTTCTATTGTGCACTCTGATAGGACTTACTGTCACACAGCGTGACATGTACTAGTCCTGTAGGAATTTTGAAGCTGTGCAAGTCATGAATTTGTTCAAAAGCAGATCCAAACTGCTCAAATAAGTGGCAAACACGTGCAAAATACGTGCAGCCAGAACACATCATCTTACCGTAGCTAAAATTTGTTGTAAAAGTTTCAGCTAATGTTCCTGCTTAATCCCATTTCTGAAAGCAATGTGTGTGTTCTGTGTGTCAGAATTACCATCGAGCAAATGAAAGATGAATTTCACCACAGCTTAACAGCAAAGCTAAGGCGGAGGAATGAGTGATAGTACAAACCTTCCAATGAGGTTAAATGTTCTTTTTATCTTTTTTTGAGATGTCTTTATAAATCTTTATGAATAGAGAGAGCAGATAAAACTGCATTTGTGAGGTAACTAAAAGACGCCATTCAGCTGGAGAAAAAGAAAGATTTAAAAAGTGCTGAAAGTGAAGCAAATGAAGCTTTTGCTGACCCTGGTGAGGTGTTTATCAGCGGTGTTGTATTTTAACTCCCTGTAGATCAGTTTGCCTTTAAGAAGTGTATTTGTCAAAAAAAAAAAAAAAAAAAAAAAAAAAAACGGGTTCTCAGAGTTCAAAAGGCTGAAGCGACACCTTGACAACCAAATCCGACCTTCCAAGCCTGCTGCTCGTTTTGCCAATACTGGTCCTGCTGTACAAAAGCAGTGAGCTGTGTGATGTCTGCGTGGGATTTTTGGATGAAAAGGAAGAGTTGTTTGGTTCAAACCAGCAGGGCTGATCAGTCACACTGTGCATCACAAGGTTCACACCTCTAATCTTTGATTTAATAACACCATTATTCACTTTTGAAAACACTTTGAGAGCTCACTCTGTGGCCAGGACTCTTCAACAGGGAACAAACTGAGGTTCACCCTCTGCTGTTTAAACCTTAAGTTTCATTTTTCTTATCTCTGTAAAACATAGGGTTTGAGGAAACTGTTAATTTGGTATAACATTCAATATTATCTAAATTACTGCAGGACCCAAAAAGAAAAAAAAAATAAGCTACAGTCATATTCAATAAATAGGAATATATGACACGATGAGTCTCGTTTGTCAGATTGAAAGTACCTTTTGAAAACTACAACAGGTATTAGGTATATTTTTTATTAACCCCACATTTCTGTTTTTATTGGTCTGATGTTATATTCTACTTTTAAATGTCATGTTTTTTATCAACTATAAGTGGAAAATCATCTTAATTCACAGAAGTAAAGGTTTTCAAATATCCATTTGTGTCTAATTAATCTATGTAATGTGTTTCACTCGGTGATAAAGTTCATAAAATAAATGGACTTCAATAACATTGTAGCTTATTAAATGGCTCTGCGTGTGTTCACATTAAAACTGTCACAATCAGGTTCTGGATCAACTTCAGCTCAGAAGGCTCACGCTTTCTGAAAATGCACTGCTTTTCATCCATAACGCTCCTGGAAGGCAGCAAACATTTCATAATTAAATGTGTGTATGCGTGTGTGTGCGCATGTGTGTGTGTGTGCGTGTGTGTGTCAAGGCAGATAGTAATTTGGTTGTACTTTGCTTTAAAGCTGTTTAAGTAGCGTGGCCCAACAAGGGGAGCGGTCTGCAGATCCCCCCGGGTGGAACACTCTCCCACTTACTGTGGCGTTCCACCGTCCCTGTGATCAGCTCTGAAACATCCCACACACACACAAGCGCACACAAACCCAAATAAGAATCTCTAAGCCCCAAGCTCTGCATGAGGCTAGATTTGGTATCTGCGTCAGGAAATGTAATTAGTTTTAGGGGTTGTGTCGATGACAATATGACAGCTTAAAGGAGACGAGGTAAGGGTTAGACTTTGATTTAAGTCCTTGAAAGTGGAAAAGAATCTGAAACTTTTCTGCGTTTTAGACCGCAACCCTCTGAATTAATGGTTTGGTAGCCATGATTTTTACACAAAAAATATGAATTGGCAACGCAATAAGGAACTCCAGGAACAGTGGTGCGGATTAGTCACAATCTGTGTTACCATCCAGTCATGAGTTTGAAGTAAACTTTTGAAAGGTTGCAAAAACAAAAAAAAAGGAAAAATGTGAGTTAGGTGTGTTTCCATCTACTGGTTTGGAGTGAATCAACCATGCTAGGCGAAGCATAATTTTGTCAGATATTGACGTTACATTTTGTTGTAATAAACAATACGTAAGCTTGTGAACCAGCATGGACCACATATGTCAGAAAAATGGAGAGAATCCTCCCATCCATGCTGGAGGTTTGAACTTAGAATTTGTTTTCAGTTTCATGCCTCTGGTAAAGCACAAACCTACAAGTGGTCATCATGTTTACGAGACATTATGACTAAAATCCTTAAAGTCCGTGATTTATTACCTTGCACATTGTGGTTCCCAATGGTCCAAGGTTCATCAGCATCAAAGTGTGTGTCCCCTCCCATCCCGGGTCCAGGGAAGTAGGCGTGAGCCAGGAAGCCACCCTCCCCGTCAAAAGGAGAGCTATCTCCGTGAAAACCCGAAGCGAAGAAAATCATGATGTCCGGCTCCTTTCGGCGTCCATATTTGATTTCCTGGTAGGGGATTTCATCAAAGGTCAGCGGAGTGACTCCCTCCCAGACCCTGAAGGCTCGCCGGATGGCCTCGTATGAGTTGTACTCTCCGATTTTAGGAGTGTAGTTCTGAATGCTGAAGGGGCACGAAGAGGTAGAAAGAGTGATTTAGTCAGATTAGAGAAGTAAAAGAAAACTCTGAAGTGACTGTGGAATTCGCTGCACTAAAGCAGTCAGTTTCTTTCTGTTACCTGTAAGTGAGATGGCTCTTGCTCCATTTATGTCCAGTGAGCGCGTAACGCTTCCGACGCACGTTGGTTTTGATCTGCCCTCCGAACTTGTCAGGCACACCGCAGCGGGGTCTCTTCATGGCGCTGAGCAGGTTCAAAGAAATCAGAAACAGGAAGGAGAGCTTTTCAAATATGGAGGACCCAAGTGAGAAGATGAAAGGGAGCATGACGTTACAAGCCCTGCTATGTTTTCTTCAAGTCCCCGACGTTGTAGTTGTACTTTCATGCTTCCACCGTACAGCCAAGTCAACCAATGGTTCATGTGTTTTTGTGAATGAGAAGGTCTGTGTGTATAGAGCTGTCAGTGCTGACCTGATGGTTTGAGCGTCCATCTGACCGGTGACCTCCAGACCGTAGAAGCGTTGCATGTCACTGACAGCGTTGGACAGGATCTGAGCTGATCGCATGGTGGACATCTGTCGGTTGGCCTGGGGTAGGTACCCATACATCCTCAGCCATGACTAGACGTAAAGAAGAGAAATACATTTGTAATTATTGTCTGATCCTTAGTGTTCATCCAGACACATTTTCCTCTGAGCCTGTTAAGCCAAAGAGTTTTACAAAGTGAGCGGATCACAATATGTCGTTGTCAGAATTTTCTGCTCCATAAACACTTATGTAATCATAACACACCCCTTTTTTTTATTGGAACTTAGACCAACACAAAGAAACGCCTGACTGTGAACTGAAAAGGAAATATTCCTGCTGAGGTAGAAAAATGATCATCCAGAAGGGAGGGGCCATTCCAAATGTTACTATAAAGAGTCACACTTTTTAAAATATGCATTTGGAAGACATAAAGTTTTTGAACTTTAACAACACATAGCAATTCAAAATGTTGTAATAAATAAAAATCTGAAATATATGGCTAGGGTTTTTTTAGCCTCTTGCACAAAAAAGCCCAAACACACAACCAGAGCAACTATGTAAAATTTTAGATAAAAACATAAATGTGTGTTGGAATTGCGCAGTCCAGATCAAAATCCCATTAAGAACCTGGCTGAACTTCAAAGTTGTTGTTCATGGATCCTCTCTTCAGCAAATATGGTACAAAATTCTGTTGTTATTGCAACAAAGGATTCTAAAGCGTGTTGACTATTAGTAGAGAGTTCAATGCAAATGCAAAACACACTTTCTGGTTCTCACTTGTAGAAAACAGATTGACATTGGGTTGCATTGGACGTACTGACTGTAACAGAGTGAGGCCCACTGCACTGTGGGAATCTGTAGGAGGGCTGGTGGGGGTTTGGTGGGACTGACAGATATGAGGGAGAAGCTGTGATACTTGACCCAATCACAGATGACGCAAAGTCTGCCCCACCTGTTCTACAGAAACCCAATACGGCAGGGGCATGCACTTACTCTCCTGCAGAAAGCCCAAACATACGGCTGGGACAGTAACATAGTCTTACACATGGACACACACCCAGTGGTGGTGTGAAAAAGAATAAAACAGAAAGCTGTGCAGGCCTCAGAAACACACCCATCTTTCACAGAAGACAGTGATGAAGGTCTGTATTTACTTACCCACTCCTTTCAGGCCATGGAACAAACTCTGCTCTTTCAGTCTAAGTGCTCTGATCACATATCTGTGCTGCTTCACAAACGGGCTGGTGAGGGTGAAACCATTCCAGACAAAAAAAAAAAAAAAAAAAACCTCACTCAATAAAGCCTCCAAGGAAAACCCCCTTTGATTTAATTCTCCCTTTTTTCCCTCTTCAGTTCCTGCAGTCTATTGAAATTCAATATGCTCAGTGTTATGGAAAGGTCAAAGGGGAAGGTGTGCAGCAGAGAGGAAGTGGTATTACCAACTCCTTCCTGGGGGATCAAATTAAAAATATCTGTCAAGTCAGTAACATCCGACCTGAGCTTCACAAACCCTCACAGCAACATAACGCTTCGCCTGCATGTGTTCTCCTTCCATTACACCAACCTCTACACTGTAACTGGTGTAATATCATGCCTAACTGACCAATCACTGTAGAGTCTGACAGATGACCAATGTCCAACACCAAACTTTCGTCTTTTCCCAGCAGTTCGGGACAACAAACGCAACATGAAGGTCATGTTTTTATAAATACATCATGTGCTCAACAAGAAAGGTCTCTAATCATACTACGTAAGTGTTACCAATGTAGCTCAAGAGGGCTAAAATGTTGAGTTTGTGTTGAGTTCATATGTCTATTTATTCAATTCTTTAAGTTTTTAGTGAATTTAACAAGATGGCTTCAAGAAAAGGAGTGTTTGGAGTTTTCTGCACCTGCAGCACATCCCTGCCTTCACCTGTTGTTGCACATTGCCAATCAATTGGATATATCAGGACTACTACACATTTCTACCCTTGCAGAAAAAAAAATCTTTCCATTCACAAAAAAAGATCAAACAGTTGTGGAAACATAACTTTTCTCCTACTGAAGCAACACTCTGGTATGTGAGTAAAGCAGCTGAAACTGGATGACCTGTGATAGACATTAAAAAACAAAGGTCAACTAACACTTTGCACCTGATGTTTCAATCATTAACATAGCAGATTAAAAACACTAAATATCTTTGGTGTTGAGAGCATATGTCTATTTATTCAATAATTTATCGTTCAAAAGGATTTATTGAATTAAATATTGTTTTACATGGTTTTTGATTAAAATGTGTTTAATTTTGATTAATTATTTACACATCCTACAGTGAACTCCATAAAAATTCCCATTATTATTTTTTAAACTATAAAAGCAATAAGAATGGGTGGTTCCTCTACATGTTTGTTTCTGCATAGAATATCTAAAATTGAATGGTAAAATTATTTAAAAGTAACTTAAATGGGATTTTTTAATCTCAAAGTAGGAGCTTTATATTTTTAAGTGGGCTATTTACCTTAATTTTTCAAACTAAAAAAAAGTTAGTTTTTTCCCCTTGTAAAGCTGAAAATAGAAAAAAACTTTCAGAATAAAAAACCCTAACAAAAAACATTTTATGATCTTTAATTTTTACATATAGGTAAATTTACTAGCTACATAGAAATTTCCTCACAGCTTTCTTTATGTATTGCTCAAACCATAGGAGTGCTCCCTAACCCTGACCTTTGACCTCCTTTATTCTGTTAGGCTTTTAAGCAAAAGTCTCAGAGAGCCTCTGAGGTAGTTAAGGGATAAGCAGTTCAAAAGAAACGACTGAATGGATGACTTCATCCATTACTGCTGCAGACGATTCTGATGAAAAACCAAACTTTTTAAAAGTGGGTTTTAAAAGGCCGTTACCTTCAGGATGCTGTGTGTTATAATTCTTGGTTAGGATGAAGGTTAACAGCGTTGGGCCTCAGGAAACAAAGTATTTAACTTGAGGCACTTCCAAAGGTCAGCCATTCATACATATTTGTGTAGAAAGGCAGTCATACTTTGTTGGAGCTGCTGCTTCACCTCCGATTCATTTTCTCACAAGTTTTATTTACAGGTTGATCGTCAATTATTGCAGTTCTTCCATAAGTGATTTTATTCTCTTTAACAAAGTCATAAACACCAGAGAATATTTTGTAACTGTTAGACCTTCTCTTTATCTTATGTCAACTGTTCTCCTGTGTGCGCGTGTGTGTGTGTGTGTGTGTGTGTGTGTGTGTGTGTGTGTGTGTTGGAGCATGAAGAAGTGTGCTGAGGGTTGAACTGGAAGTGACCCTAACCCACCTAGGACTTAAGATAAAGAAGTTTAGACCATGTCCAGTCAGCAGAAATCTGCAATGCCATAAAGGGTCACTATCCATAGAAAAAAAAGAGAAATACATTTCCGCCTAAGAACTCAGAAATGTTTAGATTAATCGCAGACATTTCTATAAAAAACAAAGACATTTCTATGTTTCAAAAGTAGAAGATTTGCTAGAAAAAAACTCAGAAATTGAGATTAATTTCAGAAATTTTTTAGAAAAACTATTTCTGAGTTTCAAAATTTGTGACTTAGTGCTGCCTTAACGCTGTGAATCAAACTAATGTCCTCACTGCTAAATGTGCTGATGACGGAGAAACAAATTACTGTTACAGGAAACTGTTTATCCGCTGTCAACTGTAGCCATGCTAACTACCCGGAGCATTTTCAAAAGTATCTGCTAATACAGAGAAACTGTAGCGGTAGCAGATAGCAAGGGGGCGAAAGAGCAGCGACACATGAGATTGTGAATGGCAGCGCTAAGACCTGCCTCTGGACTCTGACTGGTGTTCCTAGTTAGCACTGGGAGAAGACAGAGGAGACATATTTTTTTTTCACAGATTGTCTAATACCATATTGTAATGTTGTTTCAACAAATATATAAAAAAGTATTTTTCATAAGTTACATACTTATGAAAAATACTTAAAGCAGCTTTAAGATACCTGCACAAAAGCTCTGCACCAACGGGGGAAACAAACTCTGGTCCATTTGAAGCAGAGAGAATGCGTCAGGTGTGAAAACACCCTAAGACACAAATTACATCTTAGATCGCCTACATGTTTGTCTGACTGCTGGGGGTAACACCTAATGAAAAAGCTAACTTTCCACATAACTGTTGGTATTTACAGCATGTGTGGTGTATGTACCAGTGGATCCCTGCAGCATCTGATGCTGATTGGTCTCATCACGGCGCTTATCTGCTGTCAGATACAAGGGCAGGGTTGCAGAGAAAGAAATATGTCTGGAGCCCCTGAACCCCGCCTCCCTCATCAGAATCATTAAAGCACCTCAGTCTGGACGCTTACCCTTCATCATCAGCTGGGCTGAATACAAAACTATCTGAGAAAAGAGAATGGCCTTGCAGCTGCGTGTGCGCCCACCCGGTCTTGTCTATTAAATGGTCTTTCAAAGAGTCCTTGAGTCTACCTGCCAAAAACAGGCCCAGCAATATACAAGGAGTTGTAAAACCTGCCAGTGTGGAGACTGTGTGCATAAATATGTGTGCGTGTGTGTGTGTGTGTGTGTGTGTGTGTGTGTGTGTGTGTGTGTGTGTGTGTGTGTGTCCACCACAATGTCAGCCAAGATCCTAACAGAGCTTTTATTCTGAGACTTGGTCTGCTGCCATGTCTCAGACATGCAAGTCTTACTGAGAGGATGGATTGGAGTGGTGAGGGAGAAACACAGGCAGGCCAGGAACAAGATGACAATTTCATTAGTTCCATTTTCTGATTTTCCCTGAAATGCACATCAAGGGTAAGAACAAGTCTGGTTTTAGTGCTCAAGAGAACATTTAACTGTCTGTGGTAATAAACGTATTAATCAATCAAAATAGTTTATTGTCATCAATCGGTGTAGCAGTTAGCTCGCTTGGTGAACTTTCCAACTGATCACACAAATGTAAATGTAACTGCTACAATTTCTGTTTTCTGGAAGTGAGGACCATAAACAGTTTTGCAAAAATCTTTTCTTCTGCTTATTATAACATATTAGTCATAAATAAGAAAGTTTGTCTTCCTTTTTATCCGAACTATCTGCCATGTTGGTAACTGTTTTAGTAGTGTCTTAATGCTTTTTCTTCTTTTATTTAAATTATTGAAAGTTTGAAATTGCACAGCTGGAATAGAACCAACATAAGTGAGTCGTGCCCTAAAAGTTAAACAACTCGTAAAATCCACCGTTAGTGATTTTATTCTTTGCTTAATAAAGGTAATTTCCCTCCTGCTAAGTTTGTTTAACCTTCTGTTGTGAGTGAAATTAGTACAGCCGCCTATTTGACATACAGCTCCCAAAACATCAGTCTGCTTAGTGAATGGATGGAGCATGTCATCACTACATCCATGTTGCTTTCTGTACACCCTTGTCACCAGTGGTGTTGGAAGAGGTTCTGGTGCCTATCTCCAGTGAACGTTTTGGGCGAGAGGCGGGGTACGCCCTGGACAGGTCGCCAGTCTGTCGCAGGGCAACACAGAGGCAGACAGGACAAACAACCATGCACACACTCACACCTAGGAGGAATTTAGAGAGACCAATTAACCTAACAGTCATGTTTTTGGACTGTGGGAGGAAGCCGGAGTACCCAGAGAGAACCCACACAAACTCCATGCACAAAGACTCAAGAAGCTGTAGATGTTTGAGTTGTGGATGAAGACAGTGTCTATTGTTTGTTAATATACTGCCATACGATATGGAGACAGTGTGTATCAATATTGCTGATATAGTATGTCTCATTTAAAAAAAATGTCCTACTAAAGTTAGCATTCCTCTGCCCCATCTCGTTGCTACAGTGATGTGAGTATTTGGGGACGTGGGGATCGGCAGTCACTTGGGAGTAGTAGGGCTTTTGCTGGAATGTAAGGAGTGGGCATGTTGCAGATACCAGAAACAAAGAGGTTACAGACTGAGGAAGTCGTCTATTGCAGCAATAAGTCACCAGTTAATCGTCCTTACTCTGCTCCCACTGCTGAAACCTGCATGTTCACATCCACTTTATTCAAGCTGCTCTTATCACGTCCATGTTTCCGTGTGTGCTCGCTCATCGCCGTTCTGCCCCAGCTCTGCTGCAGCAGACAACGGGCTCCATTGTGTTTCCTCAGTGCCTCAGAGTCGCAGGCCCGGCCTGCCTGAGCACGGCACGTGCATCCAACTTAAGAACAGCTGTCACATTCAACTGTCACATGCTCCGCAGCTGAGATGATCCGCCACCATCCCCATCATTTATGACACTTCATCCTTCTTTCTAAGACTTATTTATTATACTCTTAAAGTGATGTCTATCCTTCTTATGTTGAGGTCTCGCTGATTTTCTAATAATCCCTCTCTGTTCACTCGGTGCTTTTAACCTCCCACTTCATCCTTTTTGTCCAGACAGAGTAGGAGTTGGGATTTCAGGCCAAGGCACAGTCTGAAGATCATGAATAAACTGTATGTAGGATTTTCAGTGAAGATGTAAAACTATCTAACACTTGTTTTGTTTATGTTCAATGTAGTCTGCTTTGAAAGAAAGGAGTTTTCAACTTATTTAAATTCTGAGGCAGCTAATGATGATGATGATGTTGATCCAGGTTCTCTCGCTGAATTCATTGATGCTGCAGTGTGCCAACATTGGCTGGAATCTACCTAAACTCGGCTGTGTTAAGGACTGGAAAACGGTAGTGGTTTTTTTCTTGAATTTGGGCCTGAGAGTTTACCTCCTTTAGTTCTCCTGAGCCAAAACAGAAAAAAATGTTACATAACTTATCAGAACCACTAATATATTAAAAATATTATGTGTCAAAGTTCTGAAGCACATACCAACTTCAGAAAGGGTCAACTCTCAGTGTTGACCCTTTGCACGTGATATCATGCACTTCAATAACTGACCTTGAAACAGCCTATACAAGCGTCAACTCCTGAAAAGCTTGTCAAAAACAGAACTGGTAGCCTCATGTTGCTTTTATTTAGCTGATTTTACTGTAAAAATGGTGATATGCTGGCTGCACAAACAGGCAAGGACTCCTACACTTGTTCTTTTATTGTAAACCTTTTAATGAGGAAAGAAGACAGTGATGGATACCAGCCGTCAATCATAAGGACTGGCAGCCATCAGTGTATTCACAGATTTAAAGTGAACAATTTCTACATGGTAAGAAGATTAAATGTCATATATTTCCTTAGTCAATAAGCTTACCAATATGCAATCAAATATTGCAGTATGGAGTAACCATGGATAAAATGCCTCACCATCATGTAGCCTACCATATGGAAAAAAAAGACTGGTTAACACCTACACTTTAGTATGCTATCAAGCCTGTGATGTAATGGGAAACACCATTAATGACACAGTGGAATAAATCATGTGGAGTGAATTCAGGCAAAGTTGACGATTTGATCAAATCAACAAACACCTCAGGAGGGAGGAGGAATGGGTTGGTTCTAAGCTAGCTGTGTCTAACTTTTGAAAATACCGCCGTCTGAGCCCCGACTAAGTGTGCTTCTTCCAGACAGATTAGCTCAACTTGAAAAGTCGAAGCCATGGCAGTACGATTTTTATGACTAGATGGACTGCATGCACCAACATGGATGTTATTCACGTTCAACAGGTGGCATCAAGCACAAAGCAGACTGAGAAAAGAACAGATCAGGAGAAGAGAAACGACACTACTTATTTGTTTTTTAGAAAATGTGTGGAGACGTGGTTTTTTATTCAATTTGGATCATTTTAGACAGTATAAACCACGGCATGATCAGTCCAGGTTGTGGTGAAAAGTGTATGTCTCTCAGGAGAACTCTGTGGTTCAACGGAGCTAAAAATATGAGCTCATTAGTGTGGACATAGTCCAAGTGGTATGTGGCTGTGAAAAGATATGCTTAGGGAAATTTCTGATTAAACTCAATTTTAAAATCTTATCCTATTAAAGAACTAGCTCAATTTTTACACACACAAAAAATGATCAAAACTGTGTAGAAAAAGTTGACTCAAGATGTTGACAGACCTCAGTACTGTTTATATTCCAAATCATTCCAGTTGTCCAAAAGGTCACGAGGGGTCACACCAGCTGCCTCACAAACCTTTGCATTTAGCCACAAAAGTTTGGAAATATCTCATTTATCTCATAGCTTTTGTCTTGTGTCTTAGCTGAGCACATTTGCACACTCTGGTTTGTTGATAGCCAAACAGATAAAGCTGTAACAAGACTGACAACCTGATCCCCAGGTCACTTAGTTTGTCAGGCATGCTCACCTACAATGACCGGGAAGTCTGCCAGTCTGTCTTTATCCCTCTGTCAAATAACACAGAAAAGCTCCAGCACCGATCGCCTTCCTATTAGCTGCGCTGTCAGCCATCATCTCTGTGGCTTAACTCTCAGAACAAACAAGCAAGATGGAAAACTGTGAAACTGACTCCAACAACAGTGCATGAGGTGCTGCTTCAAGCCCAGACTTGATGCCTTTGTATCTACTAAACACTCCTAAATGATCTTTTTATCAATGGGTGCAAAGTGAAACATAATTTCTGTTGTTGAAAAACATCCTGTTTGTCTGAAGAAAGACAGAAAGACATTCTAAAGCAGAAAACCGAGCCCGAACATGTCTAATCACTAAAAGTGGAGAAATGAACGAATAAGCAACTTATGTAGGAGATGTAGCGATCAACAGCTCAGGTGGGACAATCTGTTGGCTAAGGAATCCACAAATGTGTCAATTAAGGTAACAACTGTGAGACAAAGCTGGAAGCAGTCCAATTTAAAGTTTGCCACAAACCACATTGACACACCAAACGCTTGGAAGAAGGACTTTAGATAAGATAAGACCAGAATTTAACTTTTTTATTGTTCAATATGACAATCATTATGTTTGGTAACATCACCCAGAAAAGAAACATCTACGTGGTGGTGGAAGAACCATGGTGTGGGGGGATTGAGTGGATGGAAAGACAGATGGATGCTATTTTTTGGACTTATATGAAGGCTCATAATGTACTGATTTAGATCAATTCATATGTTTGATTTAGAATGGTCCAGACCTAAATCTACTTGAAAAATTTTCAAGACTCACAGATGTAATTTATTTATTTTTGCAAAGACTCTCCTTTACTAAAAAATAAACATTTATGTCCCAAAATGTGTGAACCTGGTAGAGACACACCCAAAGCACCTACAACTGGAATTGCAGTGAAAGGTGGATCTACAAACTAGTGTGAATTCAAATACACCACACACTTTTCAGATTTAGATTTGTAAAAACAAATTCAAACCATGTGTTGCCACATATAAAACACAAACAAAACACAACTAAGTTTGTGTTCGTAATAAAATGTGAATAAGACAAAGAGGCATGAATACTTTCACAAGATATTGTTTATGACTGTGTGCTCAAACTGTTATTAGCTACACTGCTAAACAGACTCCGGTTATACCTCTATTATTAGAGACAATAGGCTTCTGACCGTATCCGAAGCCTTAAAACAATGTTTTGTATCAGACCACATGTGATTCTTTGGCTAAACAGGTTAAATTGCCGACTCTTTCTGTGACTCGAATGCTCTCTCATTTACAGAGTCAGTAATCACTAATCAGTAATAGCTGAGTTTTACCTCGGCATTGAAGCCACTTTCATCTTCCGCTCCACGCGCTCCCATCGTGCACAGCCACAGCGCGAGCAGGGTCCGTCTCCAGAGCAACCAGAAGCAGCTGTCCCGTGAGGAGACGGCCATGATCCGGGAAAATGAGCGATGCTTCTCAGGGGTTCAGCCACAAAGGTGTCTTAACTTATGCGGATAAATCTTACTTCAACTTTCTCCTATACGCTCGCGCAGTCTTCAGGAGAGCTCTTGTATCCCGAGAAGACGCTCCATGGTTACGTTTCAGTGTTTCTCTGAGATGTTGACTCGTGAGTCCGGACAGCTACACCTTCACCAGAATGTTGCTATTGTGCTCTTATCTGTAATAGGGGTTGAGCACGTGAGCGCGCACCCCATGTATTCCACAACAAAGTCACCGCTTGGAACGTGCGCTCGTCTTGTAAATAAGGGAGAAATTTGTGCCTCTTGTACGTTTTTTTTAAAATTATTATTATTATTATTATTATTTTTACCTAGTTACTTAAGTGAACAGCGTCTTGCAACCACGCTGAAAATCAACTGATATAGTAACATGGTCTCGTGATAATCCTCGGGAGCAGAGATACTGAAGTTGCCTGGATAAAGTTGAAACAAACAAACAAACAAACATAGTTCGCCGCGCTCACCACCAATTCCTATAGCTTTAGCGACATCTGAGCAAAAATAAATTAGTTACAGTACGCAAAACAAAATGCGTTTGAGCTTATTTACGCTTCCCCCTGGCTTTTATGTCCAGTTTCCCTTTTCCCGGCTGGAATCCTCCTGGTCAGTGGCTCTCGGTCCTGTCCTCAGTCAGGGTCTGCGCTGTCACCCTGCTGGAGCCGGTGGGAGAGTACAAGCGGCACCGCGTGAGCGTCAAGTCAAATACATTGATGACGTATTCTTGATTTTCAAAATAAGTCGGACCGGACTGAGTTGTAAGTTTACAACGAGGCTGCCCCAAATGGCGTCTTTTATGTTTCCAAAAACTAATAATACACGAAGCACCCAATGATGCGTTCCATTCAATTATTACAGATGAACTACACGTAGAACACATGAAATCGTTGACTTCGATTTAATTTTTTGAAAGTCATTTAAATTAGTTGCTAAATAGAAAAAACAAATGCAACTTTTTTTTTTACATAGCATATTTTCCCTAGTTTGGAAATATTTTAGTATTATTTTGAAGGTGAATCTATTACCTGGAGTTCGACATAAACCACCCCTCATTGTGGTTCTACCACAGAGCTCATACTGTCACACACAATGCAAATAAAGGCTGCTGGTAAGATAGGCTAAAGTTAAACAGTGTTGGACCTGGTGACCGCTCCCATAATTCAGTAACCAGCCTGAACTTCTTGAACATTTTCCAACATTTTCCTGGTTACAGCCACAAATAGTTTGAATACTTATGACCATATGGTATTTCAGTTTTTCTTTTTTTAAAAATTTGCAAAAATTGCTACTTTTTTGTATTTTTCTGTCAAGATGGAATGCTGAGAGTACATTCCTGAGAAATAATATTAACTTTTTTTTATTTTAGCAAATAGCTGCAATGAAACAAAGGGCAAACAATTTAAAGGGGGATCCAGTTATGTTTCTCTTTATTCCGTACCTACTGTATCCTCAAAACTGTTTTATTTTTGCAATCACAAAAATAAAACCCTGTGGAAAATTTGGAGAAATAAAAAATGTTTTCATTCACAGCATAATTGCAGGGCTCTAGAAATATAATAGCTGAACAAATATTGATTCCAACCAGTCCTATGTGACAGCAGTACTGCACACATTGATTTTTGGATTGACGAAATTTTTAATTGTTCCAGCAGAACAGCTTTTAACCTGCTGCTGTCAGACAAATGGAAACTTTTCAGGAAATATAAAGAAACATTTTCATCTAAATGCAAATTCATCCTGTTTGGTCAAAGCAACAAGTACTGTGTGATAGTGCTCACTAAAGCTGTATCGTTAAAACCTCAAACAGTTGTGAAGAGTTACAAATTAAACACAATGACTAAAGATGGAGATGCAAGGTTTCTGCTGGACGGTGACAAACTGATGTGTCTTATGTACTACTGCCCTCTACTGTTGGGAATAGTGAAGTATTTTTCTCACCGCAGTGCCATGAAATCCATTTTATCTATACATCCTGTGAAAACATTATCCTTCCCCATCTCTTTATTGAAATTAGTAGCAAACATTCATGGCGAATACACTATCTGAGTTGTTACCAATAAAACAGGACAGACTAGTTACTGGCAGACATTTGCTTCTCTAAATGCTTTGACTTCTTCACATGAAATGTGATTTACATGATTTTAGATCCACTTCCTCCACAGCTGTTGAATCCAAACTATTTCAGACACACCTTGCTCTCCTGTCTGTTCAGAGGTAGGTTATGTTTCTCTTTATGTTTACCCTGTATTAAAAAAAATGATATATACTAGTATACAAATATCAGACTCAAACTACTTTTTTAAAGTGTACAGAAATTATATGTAGTACAGTGTTTTTGTGTCTGAATCAGGGCTTTGCCAACTGCAGTTACCTTAACTGATTACATGTCTGGTGTAATTATGATAAATATTTTTTAAAGGATATCAAACAGCACTTCTGGTTTTATACCTAAACGTTTTATCTTCTAAGATGGTACTCTTTAAGAAAATGCATAGTTTTATTTCAGTTTGATAAACAAATCAAAAGACAGTTCACACATTAACTATTTTCTCAGAGTTACGATTCTGAAGTCCTGAAAACAGACTGCTGCTCGGCAGTGTTATTATTATGCATAATTTTTATTCACAGTTAATTTTCCTTTTACATTGTTTTATTACTCTTTGAGATTCCAGTCTTTTAATGTAAAAAAAAATATCAGTCTTTGTGTTACAATAAGAAATTTTCAATTCTGAACCTGTCAGGGGTATTAATATTTTTTGATTGCATAAATAGAGGAAGACAGATAAACAATTCTGCACACAGTTAAAGTAAACTGGTGTTGTCTTGACTGGCTTGAAAGGAACGAAGTCTTGACAGTTCATATCAAATATCACAGAGTTTTCTGAAAAACAAATGGGAGCAATTTTTATTCAAAAATTCACACCATGTTGATTGACCTTCTAGCTTTCTTAATCAAGTCAGCCAACGAAGGCTGCTGTGGTCAGTTTGAACAATAAAACGTAATTTGTAAGAAGTCTAGAAGATATTGCTGGCCCGCCTACTGCAGCACTAGGGCCAGTTTATAGCGGTCGCCCTTGGTCAGATTGGGGCAGCTATCTGCATAAAAAAAAACAGAAAATGTGGAGGAACAGAAACTAAGTTAGTACACCCCTGCTGACAGGACATCCCCATTGCTTCCCCATTGTCTGCCTTGCTCTTCTTCAGCGTCGTGCTAAGACTGCATCAAGGGTTACGAAGCTGTGAATTGGCATGTGAATTGCTGTGACCAACAATTGTATGGCAGACTGGAAAACTAAAGAGCTGTATAGTCTTAATTCTAAACTTTTAAGCTATTTTATTGGCTATTTTTAAAATACACAGAGATTTGTATCTAAATAATTGTCCATTTTACAGGATGAAGTGTTTTGGCATTTTTGTCCTTTGGTGGCCAACATTGTTTATTCCATTCCAAGGTATGGGATCTGTTGCAAATGTAACATCGTCCACATGTTGTAGATTAACCAACATCACCATAAACCAAACTGAGATTCGATCATGTAATAATGGTCTACATCAAAATGGCACAAAAAGTAAGTTTCAATCTATTCATCTATCTTTATATATATATATTTTTTTGGTATGCACATTCATTCAAATGTTTTTAAAGTTGGATGAATTTACATACACTGACTAAATCATACAACACAACACTTGGGGACGACGGTGATAGGAGTTTGTCCTGGAATAGCTGGATATCTAGTTTGATCCCATCCACCTCTGTCATTGTGTCCTTGGGCAAGACCCTGCTGGTGGCAGTTGAAAGACCCAGTGGGGCCAGTGCATGGCAGCCATCCCTCTGCCAGACTACCCGACAGCAGCTGTGGCCACTGTCAAATAACTTGCCACCATCAGTTTGTGAATATGTGTGTGAGTGGGTGACAGAATGTAGTGTGAAACACTTTGTGGTCCTCTAGACTTGATAAAATGCTAAACTTTATCAAGGCCATTTACCATTTCCGGTTTAAGGTCAGTTCAGATCACCAAAATTATCTTTACTTGTTTGCGTCAAAGTCCTTATGTTTACATAATGTTTTTGTATGAGGAAAGTATTTTACTCTGAATCAACATAGGGTTATATATTATGGTAGTTTTGTATGATAAAACATTTTGGTAACACTTTATTTGAAGGGGGTTGAATAAGACTGACATGACACCGTCATAAACATGAATAAGCCT